CTGGGAAGGGCCCTGCCACAGGCAGGGACACCTCCTACTAGACCATGTTGCTCCAAGTCCCATCCAGCCTGGCCTTGAACACTTCCAGGGATGGGGCATCCACAGCTTCCTGGGCAACCTGTTCCAGTGTCTCACCACCCTCATAGTGAAGAATTTCTTCCTAATATCTTTCATGTGGGACAGCCAAGACTGTCATAAGACAGTGTTGTACATAACCATTCCCAATGCTCTGATGCTATAGGCATGTAATGTTATTAACAGACTTAATTGAAGCAGCTTCTTAAGTTCCTTTTGGCAACCTCATGTGATACCAGATCTACTGTGTCACTGGCTCTGCTGACAGCGACTGCCCATACGAGCAAGGGACCTCTAAGTGCTGTATTTCACAGTTCCCAAGCAAATGATGCAATTTGTGATACTACATCACAGATTTAACACAGAGGAAAGGAAGCTTTTCTTCACATGGCACAGACCTGAACCACAGCATTCAGCCTTGCATCATGTTTTGGAGATCAGGAACACAAACAGATTAAACAGAACACTTGATGGACCATATGTCAACGAGTGACTACTAAAACCCCACAAATTATTCCATACAAACCACAAAGGAAGGCCAAGAGGCAAAGTGTTTTTTTCTACTCATGCCTTTTTCCTGTGCTTTTCCCTGGCCAACTCAGACTCTGGGCTTCAGAGGGTTAGTGGCCTCCTTGATAAAACTGGAGGGAAAAACTCCCCTGCTCTGTGCTGTGTGCAGGAGAGTGCCAGCCACAGGGTCATGATCATCTGGATTCCCCAGCAAAGGAACTCCCCCAAAATTACAGCTAGCAAGCACCAAGGCAAAGGAATCATCTTCATTACATGCCAGCATGCTAATCTTTTAATATCCACTGCAACATAGCTACAATTCTCTAAATCTAAACCCAAGAGAGGGAAGGCAGTCGCTGTTGTCTGGGCATTGCAAAGTGCACCACACAGGCATTCAGGGCACACCACTCTCTTCTCCAGAGCTGCGATCCCAGGACGCAGCTCCGTGGAGAGATCCCACCACTTAAACCTCACCACCATGCAGTAACCGAGAGGAGGAGCAGAGGGCAGCAGCCTCACGTTGGGGCAGCTCTAGTTCCTCTCCTCCAAGCAGCTCTTCCTCCAGCACCCGCTGCACTAGTGCAGACACTCACTGCTATTCATGTGGTTAAAGGAGCCCAGCCTGTAACAGGGGCTTGCCTCATTCCAGGAAAGTGGAAATCGCCCATTTCTTTCATTAAAGGGAGAGAAAAATAAAGTTCCTGTGGCAATTCAGAAAAAAAAGGCAGGTAAATAACACCACTGTTCTTATGTTTGCTTCTCCTCATTACTGGAAACAACACACTACCTCCTGCAGACACTGCACGATGCACAACACCCAGCTGAGATGCAGGAACTGATGTTAATGTATTAACATAAGAGAGGCTGAGTTATTAACACAGCTCAGAAGAGATCCCCACCAGAGATACAAAGTAGTCTGAACACTCCTATGTGAATACAGAAAATACTTAGGTTATCAGATGACAATTCAGGTTACATCATCATCCAGATGAGGAACAGAAGCATTTGGGCAGTTTGGAGATGCTGATAGGTCTGCCAGAGGGACAGGAATGAGGGGGTGGGGGAATCCCTCTGCAGAGGATTGTTAAAAGACAGTGAAAATGAGTATGTGGGAGAAGCAGCCTGGAGAATTAGTTTAACAGTGAAGAGCACTAACCTCCTGCAGAGCCTTAGAGGCATCAAAGCCTTCAATCTCAATGTCGAAAGCACAAATTATTTGCCAAAGGTCCTAAAACTGGTCTAGGCATTACAAAGAGCACTTCACTGGCAGCACTGAAGCACAACATGCTCTGGCTGAAAAACAAGCATGTCATTTTGCAGGGAGTGATGGTGGTCTGCCAGGGCTAGGGATGCTGCCATGCCATTCCCACATGAAGCAGCAGGCACAGTTCTGAGCATCTTTGTACTGTTGCCAAGACATCCTGTAATTTTACACTGCTTTTTCCTGGCACTATCATGAAGAAAAGCCATCTACATGAGGCAGGTCAATCACCCACTACATTTACAGAGCTACAGCAGCATGCAAGTGGTAATTCCTCCAGTAATCCCATTCTCCAGGCCAAACCAAAAGAGAATTTAGCTCTACAGTGGCTCTGATGTTAACAAAACACACAAGCTCATTCAAAACAGCCTGGGAGGTATAAAATGTTTTCTCTAATTCTGTTGTTGTTGATAACAAAGCTAGAGGCAGTCTTCTGCTCAGACAACAGCTGTAATAAAAACAAGCAAATGTGTTGGGTGGCACATGAAATAAATGGTGAGTAAAGCAAGGCGATTAATCCAGGGAAAGGCATTAAAAAATAAATAGTACAAGTAGTTCTGGAAGAACTGGGGAAGTTGGACTGAAGAGGAACCACAGTGGGCCAACAGACAAACCAAGTGCCTCCATGCCTGAGAGCTGTCTGAGCTGCCAGAGCAGGAAATGCAGTTCCACAACTTGGGTTCTTACTGCCATGACCAGCAAAGCCAAGGAACACATTCTTATACTCATGGTAGCAGTGATGTGCCAAAGCAGGTAACACCTAGACCTGTGCAGGTGACACTGATACAGCATCTCACCTCTCTAAATACTGAAGACATCCAGAAGGGGAACTGATTATCTCATATCACATTAAGCTGATAAAAGATAAGGACCTCTCTACCTCATGCTGATCTTAGTGGATGACATGTCCAGTTCAGCATGACAACTCACACACAGGGGTCAAATGGGCAGCTAGTCAAGACCCATCTACATAATCCATGATGCAATATTACCATATCTGAAGGTCTAGAATAACTTGTCTTCTGTTGATTTCTTTGGTGTAGGCTTTTATTCCATTGATTCTAGGGCACTGAAATAAAGACAAACAAGATACAGCATAGTTAGCATCTTTCAAGGTAAGCCCAAGTGAAAAGTCCTACTTACTTCAATCAATTTGAGTACAGAAGCATTCATTAAAGACTTTGCATAACTGCACGTGAAGAATGAGTAAACCACACATTTTTTTCCCTTAAAGAGGTAGTGTGAACAGTCTGGGCAGTCCTCAAATACAGGACTAGTTGCAAGTAGCCATGCCACAAGCTGTAGGAACCACTGCAAATTCCTGTTGCAAGGATGTAAAAGGAAGAAATGTTCTATGTTCAGTCTGTTGGGAAGGGATTTGTTGTGTGTGTCTCCTATATGATCTTTCCTTCACAGTGAAGATGCTCAAGTCAAAATGAGGAAGGAACAAAGGAGGTAGCAGTGTTGTACCAATACCATTCTGTTAAACACTCAGAGCTATTAAAAAGCTGAACATCAGACTCTCCTTGCATCTGAACTGAACAGAAAAGACTGAACTGCAAGCGCTGCAAAGGACTCACGTTACCTTCTCTCCAAAGTGGATCTTGGTAAAGGTGCACGTTTTCAGATGTACATTCTTTGCTCTGATTTTTGGTTCAAGAACTTCTTTAAATGTTTTTTCCATGATTGTCCCAAAGTATGGCCAAGCCTGTATAAGGACCTAAAGAACAGCAAAAACAGAAACACACCGAGGATTCTTTGTACAAGATACATTTTCTTGAGAAACAGGCACATGCATCACAGAACACCTGGCTATGAATGTCTGTCCTTTTAAAACACCAAGCCACATTTGTGCTCTTAAGTCATCCTTATGGAACAATCCATCACAGTTCCTCAGAGAAGGAATTTAGTTTAGTAACTGAATTGTAAGTTTTCACCATCATTCTGTTGACTGCTTCTAGCTACAGGGGTTGAGCCAGCAACAGTCAGGGCTAAAGAGTCTAAAGCACAATAGTCCCTAATTAGTATCATAGAATCATAGAACTATTCATGTTGGAAAAGACCCTTGGGATCACTGAGTCCAACCATCATCCCTACTCTACAAAGTTCTCCCCTAAACTACAAAAGTGTCCCTGGAGTTAGATTTATTCAGAGACGAGTGAGGTGAGTTTTTACATCAAAAAGAAAGTTGGCTAAAAATAAAAAAATTGTAGTTACTGGACGCTAATTTGGAAGTTCCACTGGTTTGTTTTGAATTCCAGAGTCCTGTTCCAGCAAGAGTTTCACTACACCTGCAGATGGGAGCATCTGACTCAAGAGCTCTCTGGGAACCTCTCTGGTAAGAGGAGATGCCACTACTTTTGCTAAAGTAACAATAACAATAACAACAATAATAATAGCAATGATAATAACAACAATAACAATAATGCATATGTGTATACAAAGATATTTACATCTATGTGTGTATGCATATACCCATACACATTGGGGTTTTTTTATCTCAGAATGAAGTGTTGTGGTCAAATTCATCAAACCTGTATCATCCAGGCACAAGTTTGTCTCTCACCAAAACCTCAGTGGCAACTTTATACATAAGTGGCTTCAAGACTTAAGTGCAGCCACTGATGTGATTGAGACATATTGTAGTGACTAGCTAACTTTCTCAGACTTGTGCTGTGATGCAGCTCAGAGCAGATGGCCTCAAAAGTGGAGTTCAGAGCTCCTCACCTTGTTCAGCCACTCCACTCGTTCAACATCAGGGAAGTGAACCTGGGTGCAAAGAAAAATAAAATGAGTGCCACATGCCCTCTGTTTCAGCACAGTGCAAGACATGCCAAAGATACCATGAGTGTGGAACAAGTTTTAGAGTGAGTTGAGATGTCTCTGCCCTCATATATACATCCTTTATAATGTACTACCTCCCTGAAAAATTTTAAAAGGCAAATAAAATTGTAAAAAAAGCCAGTAAAAGGCAAAAGAAGACACGTGCACTGATGTACCAGTATGCCTCTGGGCACATTTACATGACTAAAGCAGGTCTCATATCCTGTTCGTGATGTAAAGCAGCATTTCTCATACCTCTCTTGGTCATGCCTTAGGAAGCCACAAGAACCTGCTTCACTTCAACATCACGAGGTGTGCAGGACCTGTTCCCTGTACTGGCTCACCTCAACCAGGACACCACACTCTGGAAAACAAGAACCTGCTTGGGAAACTCAACGTATTGGTTGTGGCAGCGCTTCTCCACTAATACTAACACAGTGTCAACAGCTTCAGGGAAAAGTAGCACTGGAAGAGTTCAAGCCTATTAGCATCCCCTATCGTGTAACAGTTCAGTGTTTTCACCTTTCAGAGCTTTTTCAGGTGCTAAGGACAAATTAAAATGAAGTAGTCACTCATGCAGCATGTTTTCAAGTTGGAGGCATCAAATGCCAACCAGAAACGCACGTGTCCATTACAAAATCCTGCCAGTTCCCTGACATGACAACTTGTGTGATCACCATCAGCACAGTAGGATATGAGACAACTCTCAAGCAACTAACTCACCTCTCAGACCTCACCAAGAAGGTGGTGAGTAAAGAGCCTCAATCACCTTACTACAATCACCCACTTAAGTCCTACGAATGTGGTACTTCCAGCCAGTGCTACAATTGGGTAGCAGGTTATTGCAGAAGTGAAGGACAGTGCAGCTTCCCAGGGTGCACATTCAGGCCTTGCACAGCTCTACAAGAGCATCCAAGTACAAAGGGACTCCTTCCTCTATCATCTAGCCTGATAATAGTAATTGGGTAGAACAGCACATTACTTCCTTACACAAGAACTGTGAATGACACTCTTCAGTCATAGGCTGTTTAATTCAGTAGCTTTCAGAGAGGTGCTCAGAAGTGTTAGAATGGAATGGACAACAACTTGCCTGTTATTCCAGCTTTCAGATTCCACATGATATGATTTCAGATCCCATTTCTCTTGCTCAAATAATGCTTCAAATTATTTCCAGTTGTTATGTTAAAAAGAACCCAAAGTGGTATTACCATTTTCTTTATAAGCAATTTCTTTTGATGCTCTAAATAGCAACTTTTTCATTAAATAAGACAATGCAAGTTCACTGGAATGTCAGTTTACCCAGCTAGATTTGCATGATAAAGTGAGAATACAGCACCAGAAGGGACAATCAATATTGATAAACTGCTGCTGACATTTTACAGTATGGCAGATAATGTGAGCCAGGGGACCTTCCAGCCTTTCATCTTTCATGAAAAGGTTCTCTGCTGGGGCCCATAAATCCTGGGCAGCCTGCAGGCAGCTGGTCCTCAGCTCCACACAACTTCCAAGCACCAGTGCCTCACAGCATTTGTGCCACAGCTTCAGATCAGCCACTTAGCAGGGTAGAGCAGGGATGGAAGCAGCATGGCAAGCTGTCCTTCTGAAGACTTTACAGCAAGAAGAGGAATGTCACCTAAAAAGAAGGACAGACCAGGACTCAGGGCAACAATTAGGTCACCATATCCCAATGAGAAAGTCATAGACCATGTGTGAATTCCACCAAGATTAAGGGGAGAAAACTGTGGCACAACATAAAGCACTAAAGTTGGCTGGGATTGATATTCACTGGAGCCAAGGCTGACAGAAGTGTAACTGCAAGAGGCAAATAAGAAGCAAGCTGGTGGCTAAACAGAGTTGGAACAGCATGCAAGATCATCAGGAAACAGGCAAAAAAACATGACAAGGAGGCAGCAGCAAGACTTTCCTCAAGAAAAAGCAAAACTGAATTCACTATTTGAGCCACAGACACCCAGACAGCCCAGGGCAAACTTCAAAAGCAGCCACAATGAGTCAGTGTCATGGAGTTACACCTCAGATTGCTGTGACAGGCTTAGCAGTCACTTGTGGTACATTTCCATCCTGCTTGACACCCTATCATTCACATGTCTGCAACACAGCTCCTACCCAGACAATCTGTGCCTCAGTTTCCTTTGACTGATGGAAGAAATAGCAATGCTGTAGCTCAAAGGTACCAAAGACCACCAGGAGCTCGTTGGTGAACACAATGGGGCTCTCAGAGGCAAACACCACAGAAATTTGCAGAACAGAAAAACAGCTTTCTGCCTACTATGAAAGGCCACCGAATTTCATTGGGCTCCCAACACCAAAGGTCTGCTGCAATCAATGGCACAAATTCAATGAGCAGTTCCTGTAGAAGAAGCAGAGCTTGGTATCCAAGTGAAGCATCTAGAACTTCCACTGTCTGGTAAGACATAATTTCTGAGCAAAGCCTTTCCTTCTTACAGGGTATCCCCATAATGTATGTGTCCCACTAGCAGAAGATGAGTTCTGCTCTAGTTCAGGCCAGTGACACCACCAAGCTCTGTTCTTGACCCAACAGCTTACTCCAAGAACTTACCATGTCTTATGTTTTGGAAAAAAAAAAAAAAAAAGGTAAAATCTGCAGTTCCATACTTTTTAACCATATGCTCTGGACTTCAGAAGTACTTCTGACCTGTTACTGGGGAGGGCCCTGGAAGCAAGGTCTTGTCCTTACGTTTGTTACCAGTGCAGCACAGCCCAATATACTTCCTACAAAGCCCAGAAGCAGCCACCAAGTTAACATTATTCCAGAACAAGACTTAATCCTGTAGCCTTGGGCAAGTCACACTATCAAAATCAGTTTTCCCCATCTACAAAAGCAGGTATACCTCTTGCCAAGATTTTTGGAATGCTGCAAAAATTACTTAGCATGTGAAAAGAGCTTTGAAGATCAAAAACACCAGGTAAGGGCCAATTACTAGCAAGTAAAGAAAATACAGAAGTTTCTGCATGGCTCCACCTTGCCCTAGAGCAGGTCACACCAGTGATTGTGGCAACAGCAAAACCCATGTCTGACACACCAGTGCCATCCTGATCAAATGCAGCCCAAGAATCATCTATCCTTGGGGGTGGGTGGGTTGTTTGTTTGGGGCTCTGTTGGGGGCTTTTCGGCTTTTTTTTTTTGTTGCTTTTTTCAAGGGACAGATTTTTTTAGCTCCCTGTGCTGAGGCAAAAAAAAAAATAGTCCAGACAAGTCTTTTGCATGCATAAGGAATGAAGAGGCAAAAGGACTGCTCTGTACCCACTAACAGCAATTTCTCCTGGTAAAAGGAATTTAACATCAGGAAGAAACGCGGCACATGTGTACGTTCTCACCTGCAACCTGCTAACAGCTACACAAGGAACATGGAGGAACCATCACCACCCTCAGGAGCCAGAAGGACTCCTGAGGCACTGATTGGTTTTACAAGAAGTCAGACTGAAGCCTGCACTACAGGCTGAAGTCAAGATAGTGTCACCTCTCCAAGACCCAGACCTGATTCTGCTCAACACGAGATTTCCAGGCTGGTTTCGGAAGGAAGCACAGCCCACGTAAGGAATGCCTCTAGTCCAAACTCACTGGCTGGTTTCAGCCAAAAAACTGGTGCTGCAAAACAACCCTGCAAATTCCCTGAAACAGATGGTTAAGTAGATGAGGGAAACCCTCCCAGCCTCCCTCCTGAGGGAAAGGCTGCAATATGAATGCATCTCCCAACAACCAACACCAGGACTTTGAAGGAGCCACTGCATTGCTCTAAGGGAGAACGGTTTTTAACCAATTAGTGCAATCAGTGATTGGTCTCAACTCTTCACTGGACAACTCCTCCTCATTCTACCATAGGACACATGAGAAGACAAATGTTGAACAGTCCCCTAAGACACTGCCATTGCTTCACACCTCCAGAACCTTTCCTAGGATCACAACACTGCAAGTCCAACCCGTGCTCCCCCCAGCCTGAACTGTATTCCTGCTCCCACCTCTGCACGTCAGGAGAGAAGAATACAAGGGACATTTTTAGAGCTGTTTCAATTGGAGGCTTGTGAACACTAGAAGGCAAAAATGAAAGATAAAAAAAAGAGATGACACCCCAGAGAATAAACTGGACAGACAGCAGGTGAGAATCAGCCTCCAAGACTGGCACAGGGGAGAAGTAGAAGATCAAACTGAGGAATAGGATAGAAGGAAAATTAATACTTATATTTGATGTTTTTTATATCTTCTAAGTGTGGCACAAAACCAAACACCAACTTACAAAGAAAAAAAGTTACCAACACAGAAAGGGAAAGGAGAAGTGGTAATATGGATAAAAGCTGAAACTAAAAGCACACACTGCAGGTCCTCTATCCTTAGGTCGTACATTCTGCTTTCCAGCAGCCAGCACCAAGAACTCCTCAAGCCAGAAGCAAGGCCTCTGGAGAGAGTCTGACTCGGCCTTCTCTGTGAGCACATGCAAAGCAGCAGGCAACAGTGGTGAGGTCCCCCATCAGGAGGACCTCTTGAAGGAGGCTGATCAGCCCCAGCTCCATCAGCCTCTCCTCACTCCCCAGGTGCTCCAGCCCTGACCGCCTCAGTAGGTTCAGCTGGAGTCTCCCTCATTTATCAAAACCCCTCCTGTACCTGGGGGTCACAGCCCTGCCAGTGAGGAGAAGAGGGCAATGATAACCCCTTCCACTGACCACTTGCCCATTCACTCATGAAGCCCTGACACCTTCAACCACAAAACCTCAGAACTTCTGAGACCGTGTTTGTGTGGGTCGGGGCGGGGGGGCAATTCTGGTTCTTCAGTGATGAGTAAAGGACCCATTTTTCTCCTCACCTAGAATCAGGGTATTTGAGGATAAAGCACAGCACTATTCCCACAGCACCAGGGCAAGAGCAGACACCACCACACTCATTAATGCTCTGAGTTGTTCTCAAT